TTCCAATCTCCACCCCAAGATTAACCCAGAAAATCCAACCCCCTTCAATCCTCCAGTAAATTAATCATCACTAATTAATTAATCAAGCCACCTGGAGGGATTAAGCAGGATTTTCTCCTCGGGGGGATTAACGAGGGATTCATTAAATATATTGCTTATTAATTAATTACACGGGGGGGGGGGGTTTAATGCTCCATTGAAGAAAAAACAAACACCCCAATTAAACAAGACAAATAAATCACCCCAAAAACCACCTTATTTAAAAGTTTTATTTAAGCTTTTTTTTTTCTCTCTTAAATTTGAGGTAAAATAATCTCTTTTTTTTGTCTTTTTTTTTTTTCCTCAGAACCATTTTTTTTCCCCCTCCCCCTCCACTCCCATAACAAAATACAGAACTATCAGATACCCCTGGAAAGGACAAAAAAAAATATGTATATTATACATATATTTCTATAACATTACATCATATATATATAATATATATGCCTTTTTTTTTGTGTGTTTGCGGGTTTTTTAACGGGTTTTTCGTCCTCAAAAGGTCTCGGAAAAGTGGAACGTTTCAAAAAAAGGCACTGCACAAATATTTGGAAACTACTTTACATGATTTTATGTACAAAAAACCCCCCCACCCCCCACTTTTTAACCCCTTTTGGATGTGTTTTGATGGGGTTTTTTTTCACCCTCTTCTCCAATTCCCGACGCGGCGGGAGAAGAAAATTGATTTTGTCTCGAAACAACAAGAATCATTCAAAAAAAACACCCCAACTTTTGAGTCAATATTTCCAAGCACTCGAAATTGAAAACATAAGAATGATTCTTTGTAGGTTTTTTTTGGTTTTTGCAACGATTTTGACTCAAAACAAATGAAATTTCCTATTTTATTTTGTGTTTTTTTCAAACCCACCAGAAGCCGGAAAAAGGAAAAAACCAAACAACAAAACAACCCCCACAAGTTCTTGTGGTTTTTTTTTTTCTCTTTTTTTTTCTTTTTAAACAAATAAAAACATAATTAATGGAATAAATAAAAAAAAAAAAGAAGGGACACGAGGTTAATGCTTCTGGGTTCTTCCTCCTCCTTCTCCTCTTCCTCTGGATCCGGGACTAGGCCCGAATCCCAGCTCTTAGATTTGGGACTAGGCCTGAATCCTGATTCTGGATTTGAAATGAGGCCCAAATTCCAACTCTGGATTTGAGACAAGGCCCAAATCTCAACTCTAGATTTAGATAAGGCCCAAATCTCAACTCTGGATTTGATACTAGGCCCAAATCCCAACTCTGGATTTGAGACTAGGCCTGAATCCTGACTCTGGATTTAGGATGAGGCTCAAATCCCAACTCTGGATTTGATATTAGGCTCAAATCTCAACTCTAGATTTAGGATAAGGCTCAAATCTCAACTCTGGATTCGAGACTAGGCCCGAATCCTGACTCTGGATTTAGGATAAGGCCCAAATTCCAACTCTGGATTTGAAATGAGGCCCAAATTCCAACTTTGGATTTGAGACAAGGCCCAAAACCTGACTCTGGATTTAGGATAAAGCCCAAATCCCAACTCTGGATATGAGACAAGGCCCAAATCTCAACTCTAGGTTTAGGATAAGGCCCAAATTCCAACTCTGGATTTGATACTAGGCCTGAATCCTGACTCTGGATTTGGGACTAGGCCCAAATCCAACTCTAGCTTTAGGATAAGGCCCAAATCCCAACTCCAGATTTAAGATAAGGCCCAAATCCTGACTCTCAATTTGAACTAGGCCCAAATCCCAAATCCTGACCCATTTTCCTTTCATTTCCCCCCAAAAAAATCCCTCCTCTCTCCTCGTTGTCCCCATTAAAGAGTCTTTTTATTATTTTTTTGTGTTTTGTTTTTTTTTTTTAAATTCCTACAGATTCTACGACTAAAAAGCAAAAAATAATCAAAATAAAAACAGCTTAAACATGAACATGCTCTTGATTAATCATTAATTCATTAATTCCTACAGGTCGGACGTTGAGATTTTTGTTTTTTTTCAAACCATTTAAACTTGTACATAAAGTTTGAAATTATTTTGGCACCTCGGAACAGATAAAATCATCACTTTTTCTTTTTCCTTTAATCTTTTCATTTGAACCCATTTTAAAAACGTTTCATGACTTTTTTTTTTCCCCCCCTTTAATGTTTCATTTTTTCTTCTTTTCCTTTCTCATTCAACGTTTAATTCCTTTTATTTTCATTTTTAATTAAACCTCCTCTGGCCTTTAATTAATCCCTCTTTGCTTTTTTGCACTTTTAATTCTATTAATTGTATTAACTTAATTAACCCCCACCATTCATTTTCATACATTTTATTATGTTTCTTAGACTTTTTTTTATTAATTTCATTAATTAATACATTTTATTAATGTTTTTATTTAAATTTTAAATGTATTTATAAACTGCCCCCCCCCCCAACTACTCCTCCCTCCCCCCAAAATTTTAGGAAGGGGGTTTTTCCC